AATGTCAATAAAATTAAGTTTGTGGTTATATCAAGGCGAAATTTTGAGAACAGTCCGTTGCTAACTCTAAATATAAACAACGACGCACTAGAAAAAGTTAATACATTCAAATACCTAGAAATAATGATCGACGATAAACTAAAACAAAAAAAAAAATGGATTCTATATTTTCAATTAGAGCTCTATCAATGTGGACATTGGTGAAAAATGCATAATTTCCATACATTAGTTTTTGTGTGATGCGCTTACAAACATACAGACAGACAGACCAAAATTATAAAAATTTTAGATTTGGCTTCTGTTGATCTAATAAACTCCCGATTAATTTTTCTTTAACATCTGTCATACTTTCGCTTGGCACCCATATGACAACATTTAGGTTCTCTTATAAATTTAGCTGAATTAAAGTTTTTAAATAAGTTGCAACCCGCTTCAAAACTATTTTCAAAAGTAAGCTTCCTAATGCTCTTTAGTTTAATGTCCGTATTGTAATATTTCATTTATTTTACAAATTTTAATGAATACAACTTTTCAAGCAGTTGGCAAATCGCCAAAAAATATTTTTGGCATTAAAATTTCCTAGCCTCTTTAGTTTGATTCATTATTTGTAAAGCTTTTTCTTTTGACAGCCATATTGCAGTATTTACTTTACCGTGTCAGTTGACCTAAACTGAAATCTTAATCATATAGCTAAAATTTTTTTTTTCTATATTGTAAGCTAGATCTCTAGCGATAGATCGGTGAAAACTGCATTCAATTCCATGTTTTCGAGTGATGCGCGTACAAATATATAAACAGACAGAGAGTCAAAAATTCTAAAAATTGTTTATTTTGCTTCTTTAGCTCTAATACAAACCCACCATATTAATTTTTCTTTAATATCTACAAAGTCGGCTTGTTACAATTTTATTATAAGTATAAATATAGATTTCATTTATTTTATCGATTTAATACAACAAAATTTTTAAAACAGGTGGCAATCCTCGCTAAAAATATTTTTGGCAGTAAGATTTCCTAAACCTCTTCAGTTTGACTCCCATATTGCAATATTAAATTAAATTAAATTAAATGAAAATTTTAAAACAGGTGGCAACTCTAAAAAAATATTTTCTCTTGAGCTCTTTCTTTTGACGTCCATATTGCAATATTCACGTTTTCTTATCAATTTACTTAAACTGAAATTTTAAAACAGGTGGCAACTCTCTAATTTTTTCTTTCTATATTTTCAGTTAGACCTCTAGAAATACATCGGTGAAAATTGCATTCAAATCCATGCATTCGTTTACTAGTGATGCGCGAGTCGAGATTGAAATTCATAAAACGTATTGATTTTATGGTAAGCAACGGTTTTGCAGAAAATGGATGGCGTGCAGCCGAAATGTATAGAAACCCCTTGTGGTTGGTCTGCTTTGGCCCTATGTTTAAATTATTCGAATTTATTTTATTTTTTTTATTAATTTATCACCGTTGGTAGGTAGGATCAATTGCTTCATTTGAAAGATATTCAAGAGATCACACGACTCATTTAGTCAATGTACCGGAAAACTTTTCATCAGGATTCTTGGCCCTCCTATAACAGAAAACGCACTTCTGTGCTCTTGA